CGGGCGAAAATTTTCTCCGTTTTGCTCTAGCTCAAACCGTTGAGGCGCTAGAGGGTATTTTTGACGAAAATAGGCGAAAAAATGTACAACCCTGCATGCTTAGTCAAAGTGACGGGCCGTTGACGGGCCGAAGGCCCGTATCTTTGTGTACATTTTTGCGCTTCCCGACTCGGGTGTCAGCGCCGCAGGCCTAGGTAGATGTACGCCAGGCGCGTCGCAGCGTAACAGTGTTTCGTGAGATATCGCGAAGCCTGTTACGCGAGACGTGGTCTGGCGTACATATAGCTAGTTAATATTTATAAATGCATTGCACTTGCAGACGATCCGGCCAATCAGCTGTTTACTTTCGCCAAAGAAAAGAAAAGGAGTGCTTGTTTTTTGTGTGGCTAAGAGAACGCGAAGTGACCGTGACCAGCACACCAGCAGCAGCAGTCCGTCCCAACATTGTACCAACCACACACGAAAAAGAAGCATAAGGAAACTTGGAAAGACACGTAGAATAACAACTATTGGAACTTTATACTTCCTTATTGTTTATGATATTTTTTATTTAGGACGTATCTTAAGTTTTGTAACTATCAGGTAAAATCTTTTATGTGCATTTTTGTTTTCTTTGTTTGCAGAATATTTGCTCGGCTCTCACCTGACTTAACCTGTATCATGCACGCTGTCGGTGCTATTATAGTTTCATTATTATGCCTCTCATTTTCCACATTGCACTCTAGTTTAGGACACCTCTTCAACAAGGAACAGGTGATCTTTGTAAAGTGTGTCCGGTTGAGTCACCCCCTGGTCAAGTATATTGACAAGTAATCTGAACCCCGACTTCTGTGTTTTCAGTATTATGGAATCTCCTTCAACCTCGACCGTTTGGCTCTGTGCCTGCCTTTTGTATGAGCCAGTGAAATTTACGTGTAGTTGGGCTCCTCTGCGGTATGGTCGATTGGTTTTGTAATTCTTTTCAATAATTCATTTCACAATCCCTGTTTAGTTACCAAGTATAATGCAACGAAGGCAAGTGTTGACTTCAAGAGGATTGGAAGGACCCAAAGAGGAGCGGTAAGTGGATTCAACGTGGATTCCACGTGGATTCGTGGATAACTCGTGGACGTTGATGCATCCACGGGGTGTCAACCATTTTTCCACACAAACAATAATTTTCTGTTTGTAGCGTTAGAAAGGCAAACGATGGCTAAATACTAAATTTCCTACATTTAGTTTGCATTTTTCGTACTTTCTACAAAAAATCTCGCATTTGTGGAAATCACGTGGATTCCACGTTTTTTCCACCAAGTGCGACAACACATGTGAGACACAACCATATCTGAAAACGGTTAAGGTGCCCCCACAATATGAACGCCTCCGGGGTGATGCGAGAGCACGTTGGACTTCAAAACGTTCTCTTGCCCAGGCACTTGGGCGCTCTGGGCTGGCTGCCCACTTCACACAGCAGCTTGGCGGGTTGGCCTACCCATCGCGCGGCAGGCGCCATCAGCGTCTCCTCGTGAAACGCACCGGCCCTCCCGGGACATGGTCGAAATGAGGGGAAGAGGGGGGGGGTCAACACTTTCAAACTGCGCCCGCCTCATCAAACTATAAATCTCGCCCGTGAAGTTTCTTTAAGAAAATAAACAACAAATAAAAGCGACAACCTCAACCGTGTCGTTTGGATTTGGCGCGCTTCTGGAGAGGCCTTTCCCTATTGGCTGGTGCATGATTGCGTCACCAGGCACCTCACCTGACCCGGCGCTCAGCCAGCCGCACTAAGCACCTGATCACTCCACTCCAGTCAGCTGTTCGTGCAAGAACCTCGTGGTCCATCAGCTGATCTTGACAGCGACCAAGGTCATCTCAACTGCTATAGCGAGCACGTTTTCTCATCCACAATGGATCGCAAGGTAATGTCTTTTCAAATTCTTAGCTGCAACATGTAAAACATTTAGATTTCTGTGAAGCAATTTCTCCTGCCTGGACGTTTAAAATTACTTCACATTTTTCTTCATGTGTATTCATTCTTAAATTTCAGACAGTTAAAAGGAGATGTGTGAGGGTAGCTTTGAGAGATGCTGGGAGGAGGGTTCAGGATGCTGAGTTGGCTTTGGAATTGCAGCGGAACCAGAATGAGGAGAGTGAGGAAAGTGACGATGGTAATCGGAATGATAATAATGCTGGTGAAGCAAGGGGCAACAGTGCTGATGAAAATGATGAGAATCAGGAACGGGATTTTGATGTACAGGAACAGGAAAATGTAGCTAGTGATCAGGATTTAAATGATGAAGCAGACATTAGTGAAGGGTCGTTAAATGAAGAAGACATTATTGATGGGCCAAATATCGAAGAACAGCAGCCTCAACAAGACCCAGAGCAATATGTGTACGAACAAATAGTAGATTGGGTTCTAGCTGGGGGTGTCACTATGACCAAGGTTGAAGATCTTTTGAAACGATTAAAACCAGTTCATCCAAATCTCCCTCTCACATACAAGACACTTCTCCAAACGCCAAAATGATTAGATGTTGTTGACTGCGGCAATGGTTCTTTGTGGTACTACGGTATCACTCCCCAACTTCACGGGGTTTTTTCAAATGACTACTTTGCCAATCACAATGAAGTGGCCATTGACATAAATATTGATTCCTTGCCTATTTTTAATAGGAGCAAGACTAACTTTATTCCTATTTTAGGTAGATTAGTGAACATTCCAGAGCCTTTTATTATTGGAATCTTTTGTGGTTGTGGTTCTGATCCATCAGACATGTCTAGTTTCTTGGAGAAGCTTGTGGAAGAAGTGAATATGTTAAAAGATACCGGCTTTGTTTTTAATGATCGAGCATACCCTTTTTCAATCCGGCATTACATTTTAGATCAGAAGGCGCGGGCAAGTATTAAATGTGTGAAGGGTGTGAGAGGGTATTATTGCTGTGAAAAGTGTACAGTAAAAAGAATTGATTACATGAATAGAATGTGTTTACTTGATCAAAACTGTCCACTTAGGACTGATGAGAGTTTTATTGACATGGCCACTGCCAAAATGATGCCAAATTTGGAGCATTACGATGACTTTGAATTGAATGAGCATGTAATAGGTGTATCACCACTACTGTCATGTGAGGAAAAACTTGTCTCAAAATTTAGACTTGACAGTATGCATTTAGCCACTCTTTTAAATACTAAGCTTGCAAATAGTGGAATACAACTTGCAAACCCAACAGAAATGGAAGGGTCTCGTAAAGTAACACTGGAAGGTACCGTAAGTTGCTAAAGCTTTGGCAGCGGGGAAGCTGCATTTCAGTAGTTAACGTTAACCTTTATTTCACAGGTGTGGCCAGCTCAAAGATTGAACTAGAAGTGCCTTCTGAAACCCAATGCAGTGGATGTTCTTCTTAACTCGAAACCGACCAACAATCTAAGAGTGTGATGTATCATTGGAATTCGGATCAAAGTTTTGAGGCAGAGTTCTTCAATGTAAGTAACTTTACCTTCTTAAACTTTACTTCTTCTACAGTCCTGTTCACTTTTATCTTGTCATATAAGTTTTTTAAAACTCAAGCATGTCTTGTGACTTTTAAATTTCTTAGTCTAATTTAACTATTATTCAACAGGTGAGCCTCGCTCAGGGATCGAACCAGAACGTCCCTCTGAACCCCACTGCACTGAAGGTGTCCTTAAACTCAAAATGGATCAACAACAGTCTATGCATGATTTCTTATTGGAATTCGGATCAAAGTTTTAAGGCAGAGTTCTTTAAATGTTACACGACTTTGAGTAAGTTTTATACTTGTAATTCATAAACTTTGCCTTTTAAATTACCACGTTTATTTGTTTACCACATTTTTAAACTTTTAATTTCAGATCTACATGATTATAAAGGAAAAGGTTAAACAAGACATACTCACAGCCCTGTTCACTTTTATTTTGTCATGTAAGTTCTTAAAAACTGTGAAGCTTTGCTAGTTACTACCAAGTTTCTTAGTCTAATTTAACTATTATTTCACACACAGGGATCGAACCAGAGCGACCATCTGAAACTCATTGCAGTTAAGGTATACTTCTTCTTACTCAAAGAGGATCAACATGCAGTGTGTGAAATTCCTCATTGGAATTTGGATAAGAGTTTTGTGCATGAGGAAGATTTCTTCAGTAAGTTTTCTACTCTTGATTTACATACTTAGTCTATTAATTTCTGCACTTGAACTTTTTTTCTGACTTGCCTTTTTCCTTTTTAGGTTGTTCTCTACAAGGCTTTGGAAGGGAAAATACACCTAGTGGACAGTACAATTTTATTTGTTGGATATTAAGGTTGTGAACATTTTAGTTTTACTCTTGAATAAGTTAACAGCAGAGCAAAAAAGTTGCTTCAGATCACTTTTCTACTGTGTAAAAAAACAGTTAAGGATCTCAATTTTTTTATTTTGTTATTTTTAGGCACTGTGTAGACTTTCACAAGTGATGTATGGTGTCCTAGGTTTTTCGGCAGAATCAATAAATAAACAATTGTTCACCCAGATATTTTTGTTCATTTAAATGTCAACGTCCTTGATCTACATACTTCTAAAGAAAGGGGAGAAAGA